GGGCCATTCAAAATGACAGGGGAGAGGGAGACGGCGTATCATAGAAGGCCCTGACTCTATCCAGTTGGTGATGGGTTTTAAGCAGTCAAGTTATAAAATCAGATATGACTTTTAGAAACTGAACACTGCAGTGTGAAGGATGGAATGAAGGGAGTAAGAGTGTGGAGGCAGGGATTACTGTGATAGTCCAAGAGATGAAATTATGAAGCAAGGCAGACGACTAAGTCATTATCTTATTATTATATAGTAATGCTCAGTTAAATTCATTTTGTCACACTAATTTTAGTTCTAAAACACTACTGCTTTCAGATAAAATGAAGCCCTCAGCACTTCACAGCTGCAATCACAAGAATCTATGAATTAATTCGTGTGGTTCTAATTATAAAGCACATTAAATCACATAGACTACTGTTAAGCTATCAGGGAGGAAAGAACATTCAGGATTAAGGTGCAACATAAACCGAAAGGCACAGAACCATAAAATAGCATGGTCTATTAAGTTCTGAATTACAAGATCTTAAAATGCTAAAAAGGTGGCTATTCAAAATGACAGTAGTGGGCGAGGCAGGGCCTATCACAGAAGGCCTTGACTTTATCCTGCTGAAGGGTTTTAAGCAGGCAAGTTATGTAATCAGATGTGATTACATCATTTTAAAAGCTGAATAATTTATNTTAAGCAGGCAAGTTATGTAATCAGATGTGATTACATCATTTTAAAAGCTGAATAATTTATTATCTTTCACTAAAACACAACAACTACTGGTTGAGACATCAGAGACTTCACTTTAAAGCCAACTATATATGATATATGAGCAAAATGTACCCAAAGACCATTATAATCAGTTTGCCAATTAGCTAGATTTAAATTTCGTTCATTAAATACCTCATTCTTTTTAAGCTCACCAGAAGGACCAAAAGATATTACCACTGGGGTGTGACCCTCCTTACCTGATTCCACGGTCTCCTCCCCTTCTGGTAGAAGCCTAGCTTTCTTAGCATTCTGTGGGGCATCATCACCATTGTCCTCATATATGTTAGACCATTTTATTGCCATATCCAATTCTGGAGGTGGAGGTTTCTTCTCAGTAGTGTAGGTCTCCGGAGGTGGTACATAGTTTGACTTCCATATTTTAAATTCCTTTGGAGGCTGTTAAGCAAGCACATTAAGAAGCACTGTGACGAACCGAGGTTCCTATGATGGATACGAGTACATGCACCTCCCTGCCATTCGCTTATCGTTCAGGCTGACTTTTTTCTTTTTTTCTTTTTAAGGTTTATAGATACATTTTTCCATCAAAACCACAATACTGTTAAGTGAAAAGCCAAAGGGTTCCCTATATGAATAAAGCTAATAACTTTTA